GCGAACTTTAAAGATTTTCTTCTGACACAATCATAGTGCCCCAACAATATTGGTGTTATTTGAAAGCCCAATAAATATCCTTAAAGAAAAATATATTTAATTTCGTAATATAGGTAAGTACTTACCATAAATAAATATGACTTGAAAAAAGACCTCACTTGGGGCTAACGTCTGGGATCAATTAGACCAATTTTTATGGTTATAAAACATTCTTGTCATAATTATATTAACATACCTATTATTTTAATTGTTTCAATGTTACATTAAATTATGTAATGATCATAAACTTTAATAAGTATTAAGGTAGGGTTCAAGTACAGACTTTGCTATAAGTTAATGTTAATGACATTATAATAAATGTAAAACTATGTTATGTTTAAATAATGGTTAGAATATTCCCACATTAATAACCATGAGGTTCTTAAAATAAATATGTAGAAAAATTTGCGAGGAAAAGTACGATTTGGTTGTTTATTTAGAATAGAATAGAATAGAAAGTATTTATTTGTCTCAAAACAGGTTACATTTACAGTTTTTCACAGAGATACAAAAAATCATAAGAGACAAAAAGGCCTATGACTCAGTGATTGCAGGAGACCCACAAACCCTGTTATTCTGCCATAGCCAAGATATACATAAGTAAATAAATATTAATTTATACCTAAAATTACAATTTCCTAAAATTACAAATTGCTATGTGAACTTATATTTGTTTGTTTATATTTAAAAGATTCTGAAACTACTGGTCCGATTTGAAAAAGTATTTCACCATTAGTCTTACATTATTTCTGATGCGGTACAAAGTTCGCTGGGTTAGCTAGTATAAGAATATTTTGTTAAAGTTTTAATACTAAAATACTGAGAAAAAAGTCGCTGGACGACATGGAACTTCCTCCTTTTTTGGAAGTCGGTTAAAAATTAGTTATGACATGTGTTTGTTCGTTGATAACCATAGTACAGTCCAACAGCAAATGAGTCTTACATTTATGTTCTTAGGTTTTAAAGCTTTGTTTGTCACCTGTCATCCGCTTTGCAATGGAGGGAAGTCGAATCTTAATTTCGAACTCCTCCTATGTTCTTCTGATTAATTTCGTTGTGGGTCCAATGACAGTTTAACTTTCCCCCGGGACAAACTTGACCTTCACTGGTTGGGTTATTGGCGGTCAAGCTGTAGATCCTGGCTACACAGGAGTTGCAGCGGTGGGAACGAGAGGTGGGAATAGTCCCGTTACATTTATGTAGCAAATTACAATTATAATACAGTCAGCGTCAAATAGCTCGTGACACCCAAAGTGGCCAAAAAGTTGACAACACAACCTTATTCCAATGAGGGGTATCGTTTTTTTACCTAACAGTTGGCACCTCTGGCGATTGACAGGAACTTACTCTACAGTGGCGCCATCTTGATGAGTGCAAATGCGATAGTCCTCTTACCACTTTCGCGCTCACCAGTTGGTGCCACTGTCTTCGCTACTAGCAAGTGACAGGACCTTACTCTACAGTGGCGCCAACTGGTGAGTGCTAAAACGATAGCCCTCATTGTAACAAAGACGTGTTCGAACTTTTTGGCTACTTTGGGTGTCACGAACTATTTGACGATGACTGTACCACAGTTAGCTCGTTATACTTCCTACTACTTACTAATTATTATAAATGCGAGAGTTTGGATGTCTGGATGTTTGTTACTCTTTCACGCAAAAACTACTGAACGGATTTACTTGAAACTTTACAGTATTATTATTTGTAACCCAGATTAACATATAGGCTATAATTTATGCGAATCTGTGGCACTAAATTTCACGCGGGTGAAGCCGCGGGCAAAAGCTAGTCGTCCATACAAAAGACATCAACGCATCAATTCACTACAATCCATTTTTCTTATTAAACAAAAAATAACCATAACTTAATGTAGTAAGATTTTAAATCAAATAAAACAAACATACGATAGCATATTATATGAATGTAAACATTAAAAAGTGGAACGTATAAATAAGGATGCAACGACATCTAAAACTACATAATGTGTTATGTAATTTGAACTGTCTGCTTTTGGCTTTGGGTCAGGTTTAAAGATTAATCGAGTTTTTTTGCTTATGTTATGATTGATATCGAGGTCATTAAGGTTTTGGAATTTGTTATTTAGGTTAGTATAATTTTGCATTAAGTTTGATTTTGAGTTAGTTAATTTTAAGTAATTTGTTTTAAGATAAAATTTAAGATAAAAATGTATACATTTATTTATATCTGAAAAGACCTATTTACGGGAAAAACATATACAGGGTGTTTCTTGTAAGGTGTCAAGCCGAAGGCAGGTGATAGGGGAGGACTAGACCTATCGATTTCACCCCCATGTATGTTCTACGATTTTTCGTAGTTTAGAAGTTATCGTTAATTTAGTGATTTTTTTCAAATTTTATGACCTAGTTAGAATTTCGATAACGTTTGAGTAAGAAGACCCGACTTAGTCGCAAAAATGTACAGTGAGCATATAGTTCGTGACATCCAAAGTTGTCAAAAAGTTGACAACACAACCTTATTCCAATTGTAACAAAGACGTGTTGCGAACTTTTGGCTACTTTGGGTGTCACGAACTATTTGACGCTGACTGTACAGTACAAAATCAACTCCAAAAGAGCTGTAACGTACGTGATGTGTACCAATAAATAAAGTATCAAAAATGCTGACGAATAATATGACAGAAAATGCTTGGAACGTGACTGCACCCGACATTCCAACAGCCGTGTAGCGAAACTGATGGTCTACAAAAGTAGGCCACACGCATCAGAACTTATATTTCAACATTGACTTATCTAACAAATTGGGCAACAATATCTTGGACAGCACACAAAATGTCTCATTTCCGTACGACTTTCACAATGACCCTAAAAACAATGTTTCGAAATGCATAAATTAATTAACAATGATATAACTGTATAACGTTGCATTACGTTACAAAACTCACCCTTAAAAATTCCTTTGCACACGTCCTTTTTGCACGAAAAAATAGAACACTGGCACACAAATAAAAAAACACTTCTGTCAGTGTCAGATAGTGAAAAGCGCGCGAACCGCAGTGGTCATGGCGTGGTACTATCGCAACCTCAAAATATGAGGCCAAAATGTAGTTGCATAAGATTATTACAGCGTATTACATAAAAAACGCTTCGGGCTACGTGTTATGCAAAGAGAAAGATTTTAGGTTATCCGTATCGTCCTTTTTCGTTTGACCTTGAAAGAAATAGGTTACGGTTTTGGCGGCAACTAACGGTTACGTTTTAACTGCAGTTAGTTTGGCATTCCTTCGCGGTTAAATATAGGCATCTATTGAAATAGTTTCTTACTATCAGAAAATAGAGCAATTATTTGGAACATGAATTGCTAATTACTTAACTGTTTATTTTTGATTACGCGAGTATAGAAAATGTTTAAGCATAGCATCTAGATTTATACGTCTAGTTATTTATACGTTTAATCTACTTAGTTAATTAATCACTCTGAATTTGCTATTATTAGTTTATTTGGAAAAATGCATGCAAACTTTTCCGTAACACAACTTATTTCGTCGACCTTTTTAACCAAAAAGTTCTAATTTCACACGTAACCCACAAAAAAGTAACACACACTGTAATAATTTTAGCAAATACACTTTTAAAAACTGAAGACTTGGCTCTATATATTATGCCTTTGGAAAGAATCAAACAAAAAAAAAATCAAGCTCACTTCACAAAATATCTTTCACTGCACGCAAAAGTTGGGAACTCGCGTACCGAATGAATGACAAAACGTAGCTGTACTGTCCGATTGTCCATCCCCACTTACATAGAAGGGGGGTGGTCAACTCAGCCGAGCGATTTGCAATGAACATTATAGACTAAGAGCTGGTGAACGCCAGCCCCACGTCATTTTATAAATGACTAGCGTCCGCCCGCGACTTGGTACGCGTGGATCCCGTTTTACCCCCTTAGGGGTTGAATTTTGCAAAATCCCGTCTTAGTGAGCACCTACAAGAAACCCCCATGCAAAATTTGAGACTCCTAGCACTTGTAATTTCTGAGATTTCGATTGATTGACTGATTAGTCAATCAGTGACTTTTCATTTTTATAGATGTAGATGAAAGTTTGTCAGCGTATGCTCCCAATATAGATTAGAATGTTGGTGCATCATGCAGTTTGGGTCATCGTGGCTTTGGTAGCACCCTCAAAAGACTATCTGGCAAGGAGTTGGAACTGTTAAAACTGTCTGGATGATGAGGAAACTACTTCTAATTATTGCCCAAATATTATTATAAATATCAGCTTTTAATACGTAAGTTGACAAACTTTCAGCTTTTATAATGACGTAGGTCTGGCGTTCACTAGCTCTTAGTCTATTAAGGTCGCATGCGGAATACCGCATTCAATATTGCGAAGAATTTGTTGTTTAGATTTACACGTACGAAATACCTGTACCTACCTTAATTTTGGTGAATTTTCTAATAAATAGGAGAAAGTGAAAACTACTCAGTTAGATATTTAACTAGGTACCTACCTACTGTCCTTACGTTGTCTGGTAGAGATAGCTTTATAGCAATAAGACCTAAATCTTTTATTATTGTGTATATTTATTATTCTGTGTATATTATACCAAATACGAGTATCCTAAAATACTCTTATCCTACTATATCATAAGTGTTGAAGCCATTTCACTGAATAAGTTTTATAGACGCTACACTAGCGCCTCCAGCGGCGTATTCTACCTGCGATATTCCCATAAAACGACATCTATGTTTTTAATATGAAAGCCAGTGTCTGCGTCTGTGGCCCGTGCTGATGCTTTTTGCAAAAAGAGGTAGTTTGTAAATCAAACAATAGATGGCACTGTTATAATGTCAAATTGATGATAAGCTGTTTTCATTTACAAATGTTAACTTGCTCTGTGATTGGTCAGAAAACGAATTCTTTCTGAAAATTAGCCAATCCCCTTGTTTTCAAGTGACATTGACAGTACCGATTAACATTCGATAAAACAAAACGTACTGATTTCGCGTATTGATTTTGATTTGGCTCCAATGTTGTTACTTGTTTTATTTTGAGAAATTATTTTGCTATTTTCTCGACTAACTAGCTGTTTTGAATTGAAATAAACAAGGTAATACACATAGCTTGATATTGTAAGTATTCTAACCATTGTAGACTTTCTAAATAAAACCTTTGTCAATATATAGGTACCTACTATATTATGTTATTGTATTGTGTAAAGTTCACGGGTTGCTTACATTATAATATTATGCATGCTGTGGTTATCGTTTGTGTGGGAGCAGTTAGCTAGAGACCTTTGGCTTAATTTTTTTAATTGTGTATAATACTGTATCTCATGTTGATAGCCCAATAAAATAAATAAATAAATAAATGAAACTGATGTTTATAAATTGCAAGTGGTTCTTCCACGGTTTTTACCCAAAATTAACCTTATTTTTTGTCTTTTCAGTACTTAAACGACAAGAAGATGCTTCCCCGCACCTACTACAACGACCAAGATATCCGAAAACGCCAAATCGACACGTTAAAAATCTTCAACGACAATGTCTTAGAAGTCACTGAAAATTCGGAATACAAGATCGAATTTTCTTCTGAAGGGAAGAACATGAGCCTCAATGTGGTCTTAGGGCCTGAGTTTCCTAACGAGAAGCCTTCGATATTCGTCAATCCAGTGATACCTCACCCGTGGATTGCAGAAAATTCAAACGAAGTCATTAGAGCTCCTGGTTTAGTCAATTATACGTTGCATTCCGACTTAGGACGCATAGTACAGGCTATAATAAGGGAATTTCAAAGAGCGTTACCTCATCTAGCCACTAATGATGACACACCAAGCGATGCGAGTCCCCAATCGCAAGTTATATCGCTGTCAATGTTGCAAGAACTGAACAATTTGTCTATCGATGAGCTTAAGGAAATATTGGACAATACTGACTTACAGGTATGTTATTTATTGGTTTATTCTTTGGTCCTAATAAAATTGCCTTTTTATTTGATTGCACCAGAAGGAGGGCTATGTTTTTTAAAAGTTTTTGTTGCTAAAAAAATATTAGAAGGCAACTACATTCTACACAAACATGATAAAAGTCACATACTAATATTATAAAGAGGAATGATTTGATTGTTTGTCTTTATTGATGAGGCTCCAAAACTACTGACTGATTTGAAAACTTCTTTCACCATTTTAATGCTTCTACGGTTCTAACCCAATTTTTTTTCTAATGAACATAGGCGATACAAGTTTGCCAGCTCAGCTAGTAAATTATAAATATTATCTTATTTCAGGACAAGCTCTTAGAAAACAACCCGCAACTCATAAAACTAGACTTAGAAACAGAAGAACTAATGAACAGCATCGAAGAAATCGCCCAAGACAACATCGCAAAGCAACAAATGCTGGACGAACTAAAGACAGATGTCATTGACCGTATTTCAACAATTGTTCAGATGAAGATGAGCTATGAAGAGTTGCATCGTAAACACCAGAAGTTGGCAGAGATGTACGATCCTCATCGGATTAGGGATTGTTTGAAGGAAGCTGCGTTGAAAGCCGATGAGGATGCAGAAGTTATAGCAGAGATGTTTTTGCTAGGTTCGTATAAAGATACTTAAAATATTTCTACTTTAAAGGGCTTCTGATTAATTTCGTTGCGGGTCCAATGACAGTTTAACATTCCCCCGGGACAAACTTGACCTTCACTGGTTGGGTTGTAGGCAGTCAAGCTGTAGATCCTGGCTACACAGGAGTTGCAGCGGTGGGAACGAGAGGTGGGAATAGTCCCAACAAATTCTGTTTATTGTATTCATATTACTTGATTGTTGTTGTAAATGATTCTGTTTACATGACATGTAACAAAGTTTAAAGTCAAGTTATGAATAATAAAATAGCAGGCATATGCATTTATTAATTGTAAGAATACACAATGAGTTGTTGTTTTTTTCCAAATTCTGTATTAATGTGCTTGAAAATTATATTTATTATTAATTGCATCTCTGGGAGTTATCATTACATGTTGAACTGACAGTAAAAGCCACAATCCTACTAATATTAAAAATGCGAAAGTTTGGAATTGGATGTCTGGATGTTTGTTACTCTTTCATGCAAAAACTACCGAACGGATTTTGATGAAACTTTACAGTATTATTGTTTATAACCCAGAATAACATATAGGCTATAATTTATGATGATCTGTGACAAACGAAATTTCGCGGGCCAAGCCGCGGGCAAAAGCTAGTGTGTACATAATCACCTAATGGCCTAGAGGTACTTGAAAATTATATTTATGAATTGCATCTTTGGGAGTCGTCATTACATGTTGAACTGACAATAAAAGCCACAATATTCAATAATTTCTTTTTTGTTACAGGTAAACTACCAGTAGAGAATTTCATAACAAAATTCGCGGAGAAACGTGCTTTAGGCCAAGCTAGACGCGCGAGAGAAGAGAGGCTAGCGCACCAACTAGCACAGTTGGATAGAGCGACCACTTAACTCGATCGTCTAACGCGTTGTGACAGAAACCGAGCTAGAAAGGGGTGGGGATATACTTATAGGTGGCGCAGTGAGAGTTGAGACCATACAGGCAAAGATTGTATCGATGATTAGGTACAACGTTGGTGGCCTTTTTTTCGTCCTAAAAAACCGCAACATAAAAAAAGCGACACATTACGTCGATGGATAGTTTTTCGTCCCGGGCCACAGCAGATATGCAACTATTAGATTGATATGCGATATTGCGACTGTATCGATGCAGTATCGCGACTTCGCGACTTCATGCGTTCAGAATTGCGCGTTTTAGCTACAGCTGCGTTGAGCTTTCGAAAAGCGACTCAATTGCCGCGTTGCGCGAAAAAGTTCTGAAAAAAAAGTAGCTAAATCGCCGATGCTGAAACTTGCGTATTCTGACTGATAAGTGTTTTGTCTCGCTTGCACACTTTTAGCAAGAGCGAGGTAGGTGTATTTGATATTTGAACTTGAATGTGTAATGTTTGTATTCTGTTCTGTATTAGAAATATTACATCAGCGTGAGTATGTGCTTGCCTCAACTTTTTTTACGCGATCTATACGCGCGGTTGCTTCAGAAGTATTGTAGATAAATGTATTGTTGAGATGAAAGGAAGTTGAGTAATGCAGTCACAGGCTTGTCAAGATGTTTGTGATGGTGTGTGGGCTGTTATTTGCAAATATATGTACAAATATTTTAAACTTGTGTTCTGTTGATATTGTAGTATAAATCTTTACAAAATTTGTTCAAAAATATTTGCGTAATCTACATGGAAGTCGTATTTACAAAGAATACTAACTTTCGATGGGGCAGCAAGGTTCTAAGTATAGCCACGTATCGGAAAACGCAGCGTGGGACGTCCACCCACAAGGTGGACCGACGACCTCATAAAGGTAGCAGAAAGGCGCTGGATGCAGGCCGCTACCAACCGTGCGATGTGGATATCATTGGGGGAGGCCTATGTTCAGCAGTGGACGTCCTGTGGCTGAAATGATGATGATGATGACTAACTTTCCTTTTAAACATTTGTACAAATCTGTGACTGGTATTAGAAAAATGTATTATTGAGATAAAAATTGTTTTATGAATTGAATAGGTCGAAAGTGTGAGACTCGCTCGTATTCACAAACGATTCTTGCTTAAGTGAAGCAGCAAATCGAACGCACAGCGTTGAATAGAGCTCTGTGATTGGTTCGTGTGTGACCCTGTGCGTCCACGCGCACTGTGAGACCTCATAGTAATGTTTGTGAATACGGGCGTTTATGTAAGATATTTAAAGATGTATTGTTCATACACTGATCTCGAATTGCGGACCTTTTAAGGTCATAGCAGACTTATCAACTCGGAAAGGGATCAACACCGTATCGCCTTTCGCGCGCTGTCAACCGCGAGGCGAGGCGTTTACGTTACGGTACGGATAATGTGCGTTGCAGTATGGAGTTTCATACAAAGAATACTGACCGCCTCCAGTTGATACGGTTACGATCCCTTTCCGGGTCGATTAATGTAGCTATAGTTCCAAAATAGTGAACTGTCCTATCGATGACACTGACAGTGGGGCGCCACCGTCAATACCGGATCGCTGGTTCCGATTTTTGCCATGTTTGGAAACCATATAGTTGAACGATGGTAGCGCCCCCCTGTCATTGAGTTTGGTGGGACAGTTCAGCGTGGGTCATCTCCATGAAGCTACAGATAAAAATGGAGGCCACACTCCGAATACCTACTTGAAGCACAAACTATGTATCACTATCTCGCTCTCTGTGGGCAGACTCTCTCTTTCTAAATAAACAAAAAATATAAATTTGCTCAAATTCAATGAAACTCAATGTAAAATCTTTATTTCTTGACATAGGTATCATTAAAAATGATAAGTGTAAATACTGGTAAAACATTTTAGGAAGAAATTATAGTAAAAAATGTGAAAAATGTTTACAATGATCCAATGTCGGAAATCACGAAATAAACACTTACGCGTGGAATCTTATGTCACTTCCAGGACACCACGTACTACCGCAACCACGCACTACAAAATTTTGCACCATTTCTTGTGATAAAACAATGATTATTTCCTGTAAACAATCTCAAACGAAATTAACTGCAAAATAAACAAAATAGTAAACAACCGCCATGATGGGCCGGATTGGGCCGATGTTGCCACATGGTACCGATTCCCCAGGAATTGGGATTTTAATTCCCTGATTCGCCAACACATTAAACCTAAACGGCCGACAATTTTGTGATTTTTAATTCAACTAGGTAATCGTAGTTCAAATATTTAATTATTTATTTGTTTAACTTCTGATTTGGTTAGTGAATTGGCTATTTCGAAGAATTTACTAGGAGATTAAAATCAGGAGATAGCAATACTACAGTCCACACTAAAAAGAGAGGTCGGCCCACAGAAAGCGAGATAGAGATAAGTAGGTATTTGACTCAAGTTTTTGTTCCAAGTCTGGCCTCCATTTTTATCTTTAGCTTCATGGTCATCTCTACGTCTTTTTGACACTATAACTTTTTAAACATTCGGCTGTTATTTAAACAAATACTTATTTTACGTTTTTATAAAGATTTAAATTTTATTTATTTGTTGTTCGTTATTTTACATTCCAATATTATTCAAATATAACGGTTTTTGGTCTGTGGTTTAAAATGTATCTACCGCGAATTATAATGTGGATAACAATAATAATTCTATTTAAAAATATTTATTAAAATCACAAAGAAAGTATAAACTTAAATGTTGGTATTTGTACTGTTTATAACTTTATAATCTTCATATCAAAATAATAATAATAAATGTAATCATAATGAAAATATTTTTATTTATTTCTCTTTTCCTAATTTTACAACAAAAATTAATAGTTGAATATGCTGTCGACTATAAACATCATCATCAGGTCATGTAGTCTCCACTGCAGGAGCACGACCCTCTAATTGACCAGAGGCAAGAGGATTTGTCCTACACTCCCCACGCTGGCCAGACGGGTTGGGGAGGCCTGATGTTCGCATGTTTGTCCCTTAAGGCCGATTCACACATATCAGTAAAGTCACAGTTCAGGCTCAGTACCGGCACAGTGCGAAATAATCTTTCATACAGTTTCGATGAACGCATCCCCACTTGTCAGTGTCAGTGACGACACGGGCAATCACGGATGTATAGATGACCCACGCTGAACTGTCCCGCCAAACTCAATGACAGGGGGGCGCTACCATCGTTCAACTGTATGGTTTCCAACATGGCAAAAATCTGAACCAGCGATCCGGTATTGACGGTGGCGCCCCACTGTCAATGTCATCGACAGGACAGTCCAGTATTTTGGAACTATATTCGTTGACGACGATATTTTTGTCGAATCTCGGACGCCGCCGCGGCATCAAAAACAAAAGAACTTACTTCATACATAGTTTCTAAACAAGAATATTGAAACAGCTCTCTGACATTTTAAAATATTCAAAATATTTCACTGACGCACTGATACTGAACTGAGCCACTGAGCGGACACTGTGACGGAACTGTGGCTTCACTGATATGTGTGAATCGAGCTTTAGTCGCCTTTTCCAATATCACAGGAAGTGTGGAATGGAAGTGGTCCTATTTCAACTCTGCCAAAACCACCCTGAACGTCGTTTGGTCCAGTGGTTCAGAACTGAGATATACTACATCAGAAGTCACAGATTCGATGGCTACTCAGTACAATATTTGTTTGATAATGTCAAAGTCGTTAAATTATAATTTAAAGCTGCACGTGCTGGACCGATAATAATAAATTTTAATTTGCTTAATCTACCTTAGCTTTTAATGATGCGATTGAATGGACAAGTTTTTCCTTATTGAGCCGTTGTTCCCACAGAGACATGCAAGAACTGTTTATTGCAGTATCCCGTTTAAGGCGCGTCCCGCAAAAAGCCGATCCGTTCGAATTTGAAATAAACACGTGTGTGTTGTATTACACACCAGTCCAGTTTTGCGGGATCCTACATTACCTACTATCCCGCAAACCTTTGTCACATCTGTCATCCGCTTTGCAATGGAGGGAAGTCGAACCTTAACTTCGAACTCCTCCTATATTCTTCTGATTAATTTCGTTGGTCCAATGACAGTTTAACTTTCCCCCGGGACAAACTTAACCTACATTTGTTGGGTTATTGGCGGTCAAGCTGTAGATCCTGGCTACACAGGAGTTGCAGCGGTGGGAACGAGAGGTGGGAATATTTAGTCCCGTTATCCCGCAAAACTGTATCTATTACCGAGGACCCTTAGGTTAAAGACCCGGGAATCGAACCCAGAACTTGCCAAGGCACGCGTTATTGTTGATCGCCATAATTAAATGCATCGCCACAGTTCATACAACGCGGAACAACGATGTAGAACTAGTACGGTTCTAATTCGCATATTCAATAAACCGGTCGGGTTTCAGTCACACCGAATGGTAATTTTAAAGAATATTTAGGGAAGTTTCCTGGGCAAAAAAGCAAGAGTTTTAATTAGTCCGTCAGTTAGCTTATCAAAAACTACTCGACACGTATTTTTCACTTTTTAAAACTAATGAAAATGTAAAGAGATAAATCGTGCCAAAGTTCTAAAGAAAAGGCCCGTGACGTCAGTGAGTGCGTAAAAGTGCAGCACTTTAGGACGTCACGCGGAACTTTAACGCACTATAACTTTGTAATTATTTCTTTGATTTACAATGAAAAATATACGTCTCCAATATTTTTTATACTAAAATTGACGGACTAAAAAAATTTCCTCACCATCAATCCCTAATTTTTAAGTGACCTCTATGAAAACAAATTTCATATTATTTGTTACCATAGGAGTCACTTAAAAATTAGGGATTGATGATGAAAACAGGCATTAGTCTACTACTAAAAAATGTAAAATAAAATAATAAAATACTTTGTTAAAAACAAGCTTTTATTCTGAAATGCAGTTGTTACTAAAACGAAAAAAATAATTGTATGCAAGGTTCAAATCATTTCGAAAGCTTGTAGCGCAAACATCATAAAAGAGGAATAAATTCCGTGCGCGATACAAGCTTTTGAAATTATTTGAACTTGCATACAATTATTTTTTTCGTTTTATTATCATGTGTTAACGGATTAACGATTAACGTTAACTTGCGTTAAATCTTGCTGAATGTAACGTTTTAACGTTTATCGAAGTTATTTTTTTTATTAACGGTTTAACGATTAACGAAGTTAACTATTTGATTAACGGTGCCCAGCTATGCTAGTAAATAGGAACAAGCTTTGCTTAGTTTGGGACTAAAGGCGCAGTGTATTCAAGGATATTCAAAAATTTCTTTAAAATTGGATTACTGAGGCCCCCGTGGACCCTTGGGCCAATGACCCGGATCACACCCAGAACTTTACTTGCCCAGGACGTTATTTTTGATAACCATAATTAAATACATCGCCACAGTTCATAGGGTCATTGCGCTGGTTTCCGTCCAGCTCCTGTTTTCGTCCATTTGACCGAGTTGCCACAACTAAGTACCTACGTAAAACTAGAATATTAAACCTACCTTTCCGTGCAAGTTTGGATTTGTTGCAATTTATAAGTTAACGTTAATCGTTAATGCGTTAACACGTGATAATAAAAGGAAAAAAATAATTGCACATGGAATTTATTCATCTTTTATGTTTGCGCTATAGGTGTACCAGAATCTCATGGCAAACAAAAATATTGGAAAAGTGTGTTTTTCATATGGCCATTGTCTATGGCTTTATTGTCACCTGTCAAAGTAAATCAAGAGATCTGTCAGCCGCTGCAGAAATTTTGTAATCTCTTCATGCCTATTTGTTATTTTTGTGAAAAAGACGAAAAAACTCAAGCAAGTCATATTGTTTCCAAAGTGTATTGTAAAATAAGGCATAATTCAAAGTCAATC